TACATTTTCCACGTAATGGGGCCGTTTCCAGCCCGACGAGATGCCTGACACAGGAACCATTAAAGCTCAAGTCGAAGCCGTGAGCAAGACGGTCCTAACGGGGGAGACAATAAAAGCCTTCGCTTGTAGTGACTCACAAAGCGCAGGATGTGATGCGTGAGGGCAAAGGAAGAAAGCTCCGCGACAGACCGAGACTGCCACCGCCAGACACCGGCCTGCTGATGTAACTGGTCAAGAATGAACACTCGAATGACGAAAGCCCGGCCCGAGGAAGCGACAATAAAACCAAATATAGATTGAAATTGTAGTCCCGCAGCAGCAGGAGGTTCCGCGTCCAAACCCAGAACCAAGAGCGGCAGCTAGCCACTATTCAAAGGCGGCCAACTTCTGTTTGGCGTTGGCAATATCAAAACACTTTTTAGCATTCACTTTCATATGTTGCTGGAAAAACGGGGGGGGCGGCGGTCAAACGTAGCATCTTAGACGCCTTGGGAATTTTGAACCGTCTTTGAAAGATTGATGATGCCGACCCGCTCAGTGACCGCGGTTACGGCTTGGAAGTGTTTTGATCCAAAGGTTTACTGTAAATGTAACTTTGCTACCAATTCAAGATAGGTCGCCTCCATAGGAACGGAACTTCAAAGGCTGTTTAGCTACTTTTACCAGTCAATCCCACTTCAAACGCCAGGAAAGCGGGGATGCAATATGACCGCGCAGGTCGGTCAAAGCTGAGCTTCAACGATCACTGCTCAATTTGCCACGGCCATCCAAGAGCCCATTTATCTTCGTTTCCTCTTTAGGGTTGGCATAGCTGACATTCCTGAGCAGCGTGCTCGGGATGCTTGCGCGAGACGTCACTTCATGAACAAGCGAACGCACACGGGAGCAGCGTTCCTGAGGTGTGTCGCTTGCGGCGGCGAAGAAATACAGCCGGTGCGTGGCCAACGGGACACGTACGACAAGTTTTTCAGGTCCCGCTCCAATCATTGGCTCCATCGCAAGGAGGGAGGTGGAAACGTCAACACAGTGACCAGTCTTTACCGAAGATCCATATAGTACAGGGGGGGCAGAATCCTCACCCGCCAAGGCAAACTTTCGCCTCACTTGTTTAACTTTTATCATGGCAGTTACATACACTACACTGGGGGTTCGATTCGCAGAGTAATTTTTGGAATAATCTATTGGATAATTGATTCTGAAAAGGTTTGTTTGTGACAGCCCTAATTCTTGACATCAAACGGCTCTTGTGATACAATGTCATGACACGTGGTGGCTCGAGTTGAAATTTGCCAACTCAAGTGAATTGGCACAGAAGCGCATTTTCTCGGGTTCATCAGACTCAAATCACATCAAATGTATTTTCACATCATCCAAATTCACACCTATTCACGCACTTGCATTGACTTAATATTTAATAGTGTCATGTAAATAGTTTAATTTGCACCATGACGAAAAATATGACTGAAAATGGAAGGATGGTTGTTTGTTTATATGTGCATTACGATTGACTGCCAACCAGTGCAGGGTGTACTTTTCCTCTCACTCAAACTCAACTGTGATAGACTGCATCACTTGTGACGCTAATGAGGAGAAGCAGGAGAGAGAAATTGATGCATTGCTGTTCCCATGTGCCTGACTACCTGGGAACTCGTCCGGGGTGTATACCACCTCTTGCCACAAAGTCAGTTGTGATAGAAGAGGCTAAACTGTAAAGAGAAGAGATGAATGGACCGACTGAAATGCTCTTACAGACCACAACATGACCCATGAGCCATATGTTGCCCACCAGGACTGGAGAAACATTATCAACAAAAGCATTGGACTCACCTTAATGTAATTTTAACCACCTCTGAGTTATTTAACAACCATGAGAGAATAATCCGGTGTCATAAATCATCAATAGCTGTGATTTCAGTGATCCTGGGCCTCCCAGACATCCTATTGACAATTAGCTCCGACGGCTAACAGTTCTGAGCACGACCGCAGTAAAAGAGTGACACGGCCGCAGTCCGAGGAAAGAAGTGCAAGTACTTGGCGGTTCTCTCTTTTTTCGACATTGCTGTACAATGGTTGTCTCCCAAGTGACGCCCCTCCCCTTATCCGATGTACGCAAATGAAGCAACCACGTCTCGCACAAACTCTCACAATCAAATTCCAGCAAGCAAAGTGAGGCAGAATCCTCACCCGCCAAGGCAAACTTTCGCCTCACTTGTTTAACTTTTACCAATGGGAGTTACATACACTACACTGGGGGTTCGATTCGCAGAGTCATTTTTGGAATAATCTATTGGATAATTGATTCTGAAAAGGTTAGTTTGTGATAGCCCTAATTCTTGACATCAAACGGCTCCTGTCATACAATGTCATGACACGTGGTGGCTCGAGTTGAAATTTGCCAACTCAAGCGAATTGGCACAGAAGTGCATTTTCTCGGGTTCATCAGACTCAAATCGCATCAAATGTATTTTCACATCGTCCAAATTCACACCTATTCATGCACTTGCATTGACTTAATATTTAATAGTGTCAGGTGAATAGTTCAAATTGCACCATGACGAAAACTATGGCTGAAAATGGAAGGACGGTTGTTTGTTTATATGTGCATTGCGATTGACTGCCAACCGGTGCAGGGTGTACTTTTCCTCTCACTTAAACTCAACTGTGATAGACTGCATCACTTGTGACGCTAATGAGGAGAAGCAGGAGAGAGAAATTGATGCATTGCTGTTCCCATGTGCCTGACTACCTGGAAACTCGTCCGGGGTGTATACCACCTCTTGCCACAAAGTCACTTGTGATAGAAGAGGCTAAACCGTAAAGAGAAGAGATCAATGGACCGACTGAAATGATCTTACAGACCACAACATGACCCATGAGCCATAGGTTGCCCATGGGGCTGAAGAAAACATTATCAACAAAAGCATTGGACTCACCTTAATGTAATTTTAACCACCACTAAGTTATTTAACAACCATGAGAGAATAATCCGGTGTCATAAATCATCAATAGCTGTGATTTCAGTGATACTGGGCCTCCCAGTGACATCCTATTGACAATTAGCTCCGACGGCTAACAGTTCTGAGCACGATTTATTAGCCAACTCTGGCAACTTGACCGTAAAGTAAAAAAGAAAAAGAAGCGTCAACCCCTCGCACCCACCAAACTGTCTTTAAAACAAGTACGGCATGTTTTTGATGAAATCGAGATAGCGTTAAGACGGGATAAACCACAAGTCGCCCACTGGGTGTCTGGACAGTTTCACCTGTCTGTCAAGTTTGCCCCACACTGGGCGATACTAGCCATTAGCTTCGTTAGCTTAGCCGTCTGCTTAGCTGTCTTCTACGATAATAAGTAGTGGAGAGAGGGCGCAAAAAGGACGACGACGGCGGTGTCTTCTTACCCTTTGTAATAGGCCTTCACCCGGACTTGTTGGGAATTCTCGCCGGGGTGAGACATGGTGCTGTCCCGCAACGTCGGCATCATTAGCTCAGCCGCGGTCAGCCAGAATTTACTGAAGCTCCCCTTCCGTCTCCGGCTCTTTTTTTCCCTTCCTTTTTTTGTGTGCGTGTGTTGTTAGTTGTCTACCACGCCCCGAAAACTGTATCTTGAAAGCTGAGTGGGGTTTAACGAGTGAAAAGCGAGGTGAACTGAGCCGTAAAAATGAAAAATAATCGCTCGCGTGGTTAAACACAAACTGACGCGGAAAGTAAAGAAAAACTTAAGGGGCCGCCAAACAACTCCCTACTGCATAGGCCTAGTCACGGACGACACCATTGTTGGAATGTTTGCGGGGGTGGCGCATAACTTAAAACCGAAAGACGGAACATTCCGTTTTTGTTATCCAAATATTTACTCATATCTGACAGCAAAATAAAAGTCATTAACACAAACTAATCCGGTATCTGCTTCAGAAATATGTCATATCGGTATAAAATATCGCCCACAGTTACCTCAGTTGAGTCCCAGTCAGAGCAGACCAACTATAGCTTTCATGTGGACGGTGTAGTTCACGCACAAGTCTCTGAGGTTGGACCTGAGAACAGATACCCGGAGGATATGTGCCGCATTCAACTGCGCTGGTGCAGAAGAAATGGCGACATTAAGCTAAAGCCAGAGCGTGTCATTTAGCGAGGGGGCTACTTTGAAGGAAAAAAAGTGCAAAACACAACACACGTGGGTTATGAAATGGGTTTGAAACCATCCCAATGGCATGTAAGCCTCCCAAGATAAGAGGGATTCGCGGTTATCGCATACAAACTTTGATTACTTTACCGTTTCGTGTGATTTACATTTTTAAAGGTTGGGACCAGGTGTGCATTAAAAAAAAAGTGTAAAATAAAGTTTGATAGCACTTAATTGGATAACTTCAGTTCTGCACATCTGCTGCAGTCGCCATGGCAACAGTTTGGCTGCAAGGCAGTTCACCTCAGACCTCTTATTGTTGACGGGAAGTCAATCCTCCACTACTACACAGCAACAGCAATATATGACTAAATGCCCATAGTTGATTGAGGTCATAGCACGAGAAACCTTTGACTGAATGGGGTGATTGACCGGAATCCAATCCCGATGTTAGATAACACCAAGAACATACAAAACAAGGGACAAATCCAGGTATTAGTTTTCCCCAAGGTCATCAGAATGAATGGCAGTAGTTGAGTGGAAGCCAACGCGTGTAATAGAACACACTCCAGGTATTAGATGACCCCGGAACTTCCTATGTTTTTTTGAGAATGCTGATTCCGGTTCGAGGCAGCACTGAGGGCATCTGAGGGAATTGGTGTACTTACATGGAAAGGGCCTGTGCATTTTAAAAGAAAGCAACTGATACTACCTGCCAGACTGTTTTTGAGAGGATGACAATCCATGTGACTAGGCAGTATCTGGAACATGTGAATGGGTGGGCATAGTTGAGTGGAGTTTAATCCGGGTATGAAATACCACCTGAGGCCTCAAAGACTTCCGATTGAATGGGCATGTCTAAGTGGAATCGAATCCAGATGTTAGCCAGCACCTAAGACCTTATTTTTTTTTAGACATTAAGCCGTGTAATAGACAGCACGGAAAACAACTAAATGGCCATTTTAATGCAAGACTGGCTCTTGCATTAAAATGGCCATTTAGTTGCAGTAGCAGTAGACATCACCTGGGATCTCTTCCATACAGTACTCAGAAGATGGCAATTCATATAGTCGAGACAACACCAAAGACCATGGAATAAACAGGTGTTGATTAAATCGAATTGACTCCAAATATTGGACAGAACCTGAAACCTCTGCACATTTTATTCAATTTCATTGGAAAGAATGCTAGGCAAGGTAATAGGCGAGGTCAAGTTGATAAGCTGAAACCAGCGCTCGACAGCTCGCATAGCCCGGCATGCCCACAATGCTCCTGGCAAAATTTTCAAATGTTACTTTTTTTTTTTTTCTCTCTCACAAGCCACATTTTGCACCTCATTAATCATTTTTTTTTCTTGTTATGTCTTGAAGCAGCTTGCCTCTATTTGCCGCCGTCAGCAGTCTATTTTCATAGCGCCTGCAGCCACGGCGGCAGTCACCTTCCCGTTCACCCACGTCCTCCCGGGTACAAGTGTGATCAATAATATTAATAGTAAAAATGATTAAAAGTGTTTGATGGCATACTACGTTATACTGCCGCTCGTGCCCACAAACAAATAATTAATCATCTGACCGAATTGTTTCATTCAACAATAAAACAGGTTTTAGGTGGTCAATCCAGGTGTTGACTGCACCAAGGACATTGCGGAAGAATGAATGTGCAAACACACGTGGGAGTCGGATGAGTTGTTTTCAAGACCAGTCCAGGCATTAGACAGGACAAAGGACATCGGAATGAATGGGCATAGTTGAGTGGAATCCAATCCAGGTATTAGACAGCACCACGGGACCATCCCATGTGCCTGACTACCTGGAAACTCGTCCGGGGTGTATACCACCTCTTGCCACAAAGTCACTTGTGATAGAAGAGGCTAAACCGTAAAGAGAAGAGATCAATGGACCGACTGAAATGATCTTACAGACCACAACATGACCCATGAGCCATAGGTTGCCCATGGGGCTGAAGAAAACATTATCAACAAAAGCATTGGACTCACCTTAATGTAATTTTAACCACCTCTGAGTTATTTAACAACCATGAGAGAATAATCCGGTGTCATAAATCATCAATAGCTGTGATTTCAGTGATCCTGGGCCTCCCAGACATCCTATTGACAATTAGCTCCGACGGCTAACAGTTCTGAGCACGATTTATTAGCCAACTCTGGCAACTTGACCGTAAAGTAAAAAAGAAAAAGAAGCGTCAAACCCCTCGCACCCACCAAATTGTCTTTAAAACAAGTACGTCATGTTTTTGATGAAATCGAGATAGCGTTAAGACGGGATAAACCACAAGTCGCCCACTGGGTGTCTGGACAGTTTCACCTGTCTGTCAAGTTTGCCCCACACTGGGCGATACTAGCCATTAGCTTCGTTAGCTTAGCCGTCTGCTTAGCTGTCTTCTACGATAATAAGTAGTGGAGAGAGGGCGCAAAAAGGACGACGACGGCGGTGTCTTCTTACCCTTTGTAATAGGCCTTCACCCGGACTTGTTGGGAATTCTCGCCGGGGTGAGACATGGTGCTGTCCCGCAACGTCGGCATCATTAGCTCAGCCGCGGTCAGCCAGAATTTACTGAAGCTCCCCTTCCGTCTCCGGCTCTTTTTTTCCCTTCCTTTTTTTGTGTGCGTGTGTTGTTAGTTGTCTACCACGCCCCGAAAACTGTATCTTGAAAGCTGAGTGGGGTTTCACGAGTGAAAAGCGAGGTGAACTGAGCCGTAAAAATGAAAAATAATCGCTCGCGTGGTTAAACACAAACTGACGCGGAAAGTAAAGAAAAACTTAAGGGGCCGCCAAACAACTCCCTACTGCATAGGCCTAGTCACGGACGACACCATTGTTGGAATGTTTGCGGGGGTGGCGCATAACTTAAAACCGAAAGACGGAACATTCCGTTTTTGTTATCCAAATATTTACTCATATCTGACAGCAAAATAAAAGTCATTAACACAAACTAATCCGGTATCTGCTTCAGAAATATGTCATATCGGTATAAAATATCGCCCACAGTTACCTCAGTTGAGTCCCAGTCAGAGCAGACCAACTATAGCTTTCATGTGGACGGTGTAGTTCACGCACAAGTCTCTGAGGTTGGACCTGAGAACAGATACCCGGAGGATATGTGCCGCATTCAACTGCGCTGGTGCAGAAGAAATGGCGACATTAAGCTAAAGCCAGAGCGTGTCATTTAGCGAGGGGGCTACTTTGAAGGAAAAAAAGTGCAAAACACAACACACGTGGGTTATGAAATGGGTTTGAAACCATCCCAATGGCATGTAAGCCTCCCAAGATAAGAGGGATTCGCGGTTATCGCATACAAACTTTGATTACTTTACCGTTTCGTGTGATTTACATTTTTAAAGGTTGGGACCAGGTGTGCATTAAAAAAAAAAGTGTAAAATAAAGTTTGATAGCACTTAATTGGATAACTTCAGTTCTGCACATCTGCTGCAGTCGCCATGGCAACAGTTTGGCTGCAAGGCAGTTCACCTCAGACCTCTTATTGTTGACGGGAAGTCAATCCTCCACTACTACACAGCAACAGCAATATATGACTAAATGCCCATAGTTGATTGAGGTCATAGCACGAGAAACCTTTGACTGAATGGGGTGATTGACCGGAATCCAATCCCGATGTTAGATAACACCAAGAACATACAAAACAAGGGACAAATCCAGGTATTAGTTTTCCCCAAGGTCATCAGAATGAATGGCAGTAGTTGAGTGGAAGCCAACGCGTGTAATAGAACACACTCCAGGTATTAGATGACCCCGGAACTTCCTATGTTTTTTTGAGAATGCTGATTCCGGTTCGAGGCAGCACTGAGGGCATCTGAGGGAATTGGTGTACTTACATGGAAAGGGCCTGTGCATTTTAAAAGAAAGCAACTGATACTACCTGCCAGACTGTTTTTGAGAGGATGACAATCCATGTGACTAGGCAGTATCTGGAACATGTGAATGGGTGGGCATAGTTGAGTGGAGTTTAATCCGGGTATGAAATACCACCTGAGGCCTCAAAGACTTCCGATTGAATGGGCATGTCTAAGTGGAATCGAATCCAGATGTTAGCCAGCACCTAAGACCTTATTTTTTTTTAGACATTAAGCCGTGTAATAGACAGCACGGAAAACAACTAAATGGCCATTTTAATGCAAGACTGGCTCTTGCATTAAAATGGCCATTTAGTTGAAGTAGCAGTAGACATCACCTGGGATCTCTTCCATACAGTACTCAGAAGATGGCAATTCATATAGTCGAGACAACACCAAAGACCATGGAATAAACAGGTGTTGATTAAATCGAATTGACTCCAAATATTGGACAGAACCTGAAACCTCTGCACATTTTATTCAATTTCATTGGAAAGAATGCTAGGCAAGGTAATAGGCGAGGTCAAGTTGATAAGCTGAAACCAGCGCTCGACAGCTCGCATAGCCCGGCATGCCCACAATGCTCCTGGCAAAATTTTCAAATGTTACTTTTTTTTTTTTTCTCTCTCACAAGCCACATTTTGCACCTCATTAATCATTTTTTTTTCTTGTTATGTCTTGAAGCAGCTTGCCTCTATTTGCCGCCGTCAGCAGTCTATTTTCATAGCGCCTGCAGCCACGGCGGCAGTCACCTTCCCGTTCACCCACGTCCTC